AAATACTACAGTCAAATACTATCAATATCTGTATCATTACTAAACTCTACTACATACTACAGGCAAACACTATCAATATCTGTATCATTACTAAACTCTACTACATACTACAGTCAAATACTATCAATATCTGTATCATTACTAAACTCTACTACATACTGCAGTCAAACACTATCAATATCTGTATCATTACTGACCTCTAATTCTGGACACACGTGAGTTTGAAGGCTCAAATTTTGATGGTGAGCTGTAAAAAGTAGTACTGATTTGCTTAGCCAAAAAAAAAATCCCGTTTCAGAGACTAAAGTATGATTGGTTAAAAATTGGCGTAACTTTCCCTTTAAAAAAAAAATTTGACCTGGGTGCAATAAAATTGTTCAATGCTGCTTGAATCGAGTTGAAAAGTGGGCCATGTTACCACTTTCTTGAGAATTTTTGCGGTTTTTACATAATTGATTTCTTTGTTTCGAAGTTCATGTTAATTCTGGACACTTAATTTTATAAGTGACCAATTTCGACAATATAACACATATTTAAACATTTTGTTAAAACCTTGTGGATTATGGATTATTGTATCACAGAATATTGTGGAGCGAACGAACCAAGGGCGAATGAACTCTGGGCGACCATGAAAAAGGCCGAAAATGTACAGGAGTAAACGCGTTTAACAGCTCTGAGATAAATATAAAATTCTAACTTCATTACCTAGGCCTGCACTTTTATGGGATTTTTATTCTCAAATCACCTTAAGACCTATAGGATCCAACATTACAATTTTTGTGGAAATATACATTACTTACTCAGTGGCGTAGCCAAGATATCATTGACGGGGGTGGGGGGCACTTTTGCCCCTTTTTGGCTTTTAGAAGACACTACCCTCTAAGAGCAAATGAATGTACACTAAATTTCATACAACGCGGAACGTTTTAGATAGGTTTGAATTGAGAAGTATTTAGCCTTGAACCGTGAACTCTTCAAAATCGGCCTTGACACTTATTTGTAAACGACATTTTTTTTGAAAGGCGAATTTTTGATGAACATAATGAGTTTTTGAATTCAAAATCGTTATTTTGAAAATTTAGGTAGTTTTAAGCACTTTGTGCCGAAAGGAATATCAAATCATGACTGATTTTATCTACCACGTCGTGGTAAATAGCTGTAGTGTAAGGGTACTTATGGCTATTTACCACGCTTATCACACCAGTGGTAAATAGCCATGGTAAATAGCCACTACCTTTTCTAGCAATCGTTGCAATTAAAGAGGTTCAATTCCACTAACAGTTCACATAATCTTATCCGACCGTCGCAAGGGCTACTTAACAATGTCTCAACTGGATGAGTAGGGGCCCTTGAACTTAAGTAGGTTGGGGAATTTTGCATGCTGTGCTGCATTTTTCTGAGGGATTGGGTCCTTGGACTTGATTCAACTAGTCTCTATGGTAGTTGACCATTGCTAATCAAGATGAGCTCGCTTTAAGAAGCTGTGTGCCTTACTTGATAGAACCTAGATGTACATCTGGGGTATGGTTATCAGGGTTAACGTAAAACGATACCACTTGATTAAAAACAGCGGCACCACAACTGAATCCTGCTATTAGTATTGATGTTATAGTACTCACATGGTTCCTAAAATACTGGGTTGTTAGAAATATTATTATATAAAGCAAACATCTAATTAAAATGAAGATTAGCTATGTTAAATTCAAAGAACAAAAATGAAGACGTTATTTAATTAACATGCAAGATTTGAAATTTTGATTTAAATTTGCATTTAGAAATAATGTTATCTTCAGTAGGCTATGTAAGTATGAGAATAAAGTATATGAGTAGGTTGCCATGTTTTAGCTTTCAGTTGTCGACTTATCGGTATAATATGTAATCTACTAGGGATGGCATGTAATCTATATATATATATATGTAATGGCATATTAAGAGTTGTTTTCATGTTAGCCTTATAATGAAAAGTGGTAATTTTCGTGTATTTTGCTGCTATAATAATGAAATTTTACTCACACAAATATTTTAAAAACATGTGTTGCTATTTCTGTAATTTAATCCTATATTTTTACATATATATACTTTGTACTTTGAATTTTCAGCTGCACTTAGGGGTCTGATGCACGTTAAAAAGCCCTGTTTACTCACCTTGGAACATATATCGATGGTTGTGACATACGCCGCACCAGTTCCTAATCCACAGATAAAACCATAGGTAAGAATTGGTAACCATAGTGAATGTTCTAATGAGATATATGTTAAAAAGTAACCCGCTCTGAAAACAAGTAGTGAGGAATACCAATTTTGTGAACAGATAGGGTCAATTCTTTAAAAGACCATCAATCTGGAAAGAGTCTTCCAAAAATCACTATTATAGAAAAAACAACACAGCACATTGTCAAAACTCTTTCCCGATTACAAAATTGATGCCAACTATTCCTCAAATTTTAGAGCTGGATATGTACAAGTGTGCCATTTTGGGGTTGTTTGAGTCTTGAAAATATGTATATAGTCTTCAAAAGTTATAGAATTGACGAAAATTGCATAATTTCCTCAAAAATATCTCAAACGAAGAAATTCTTTTCATATTACTCTAGACGGACTTTAAAATGAGTGCAGAATCGCAAAACAAGGTTATTCTATAGTAAGAAGACCTTCCGATCGACAAGACGTATAACATGCCGTCTAATATATCTTATATATGTATATTTCACCACTAGAACAGGCCTAATTGTCTCACGGTGGACCGATGTTTGAATAACCGATTATTCGAATAGCATCAAACATTAAAACAGAGAAATATATTTATATAAAAAACTTACGAGAAAACTAAGTTAGATATAAGAAGAGTGAATCGAACACCGACTTTCTGTCTCATTGATCCTGCTATAGTTGAAGATATAGCTAACCCAGCTGGATAGGGGCTAACAATCCAGTTCTCATCACCTATATTACTGGCATTGTAGAAACCCCTATAGTGCATGTATGATACGATATACGTTAGGAGATTGCCTGGAATTATATAAAAACTTAGATTTCAGTTACGAAAACATAAAGAAACTGAAGGTAACACCAGGAATGGATTAGAAAATTGGCTTTGCTGTCCTAAATATATCAAAAGATAAATAAATAAATGCATTGAAGGAAACGAACGAACGACCGAACGAATGAATGAATGAAAATAGGTCCAGCACACGTCATGCTAAGGCTAATCTTTTAGATAAATCTCTAATTATCTTAAGACGTGACCTAAAGATTTTGAAAAAGATAAAATCAAAATATTTACCAAATAAGAAGGGAACACCGATACAGAAGTGAATGGCAATACTGCCTATTAAAACATACCATTTCTTAAAATTATCCGTCACTTTCACCATTCTGTTCCTTTCATGGTTCAATTTGTGAATATCATAGAAGATATCCGAATGATATTCATTCTAATAGATATTATGATATGTCATGGTATGTTATCAAATATCAAAAGATACGGACAATATATCTAGTCTATTACGGTGTCGTTGCTTTGCCAACTGATCTTTCTCTCAATAAAGTTCCAATAAATAGGACGTAGAGCTTCAATTCAGTATATTTCCATTCTATCTGACCAATCAGTTTCACACACTTTACCTATAATGCATCCAATGATCTTCTATTTCCAAAAATCTTTTCGATTTTAAATTGACAAAATGTTTTTTTTTAGTTTGTTATTAGCACTTTGTAACAATTTCAGTATCCTGAAAGTAAACATATCACAATTTGGACAAGAATTTTAAATAATCGACAAATATTCTGTAGAGGGCACACTGCTATTATCTCCTTCACTGTATGAAGTGACAACACTAACCTGATATCTTGCATGCTATATTAAAATACGTTAATATTGATGGTAGAATATCAATTATCAGTATATTATATTTCATATATTACTCATTATTAATATATAATTTAATTGACTGTTTAACATGAACTGTTGCAATAATTAAAATGACCGTCATTGTTCAATTCCTCACATATAATAACAGGGTTCAATTTAAGTGGTATCACATCGTAGTTTGCAGACAAAGTGGGGCACTTGCTCCACCAGGGACGGAAAATCAAGTGGCGTTCTTTAAAGGGGCGCCAAAAGCCATTATTGAACACTTTTCAGCAAAAGTTCGCAATTATTATGATTTTAGACATTCAAAATATTGTAAAAAAAATGAATCATATTTTTTTTCCCCGTCTTCAAAATTTGAACATACGCAGATAAGTCGTGATGGGGTCTTTTTTATTCCTGTGCTTTCATTCTTGAGAAGTTTATTGACGGTCTGTGCGACGCAACTTAATAGCTAGCGTATTAAGGAAGCCTGATTCATTTTAACGTGCCAATTACCATACATTCAATTAAATGACTCGTGTCTCGAACAATTATAGGTTATGATTTTGTTTTTGTCTATTGTCAAAGATGGAGGCATTTTGTCCCAATAAAGACTTTGAGTTTGGTACGCTGTGCAGCAGAGTTTATGAATTTATTTCCAAAGATAAAGCAAATTTTTTTTCAATTGGC